GTTGAAAATGTTTTTAATCATTTCTAAAACATGTTACAAAGCATGTTCAATGTGATATCCATCATTTTCTGAATGCAAGTTAAATTCCCTCCTAATATACTAAGAGCTACTGTTGAGTAATGCAACTTAACTTGCTTTCAGAAAATGATGACATTCTGTCCAGTACTTTTGTTTTTATGGCAATTTCAAACTGGAACTTTAATTATAATGACCCTGTATTATGAAAGCATAAAATTAAAATAATTTATGTTTCATCAATTTCTTAAATTTTTGAAAATATTTAATAATCATAAATAAAATATTGTACTTACTTTTGCTACTGTTGTTGGAATTTAAATTATTCATTAAATTTTCCAATCCTCTTCTAACTGATATCTTTTTTGGTTGAAGCAAAGTTTCTTTAGACGTAATTTTATTTGATGTTAATCCATTAGTAGAAACCTCTTTGCTATAACTTTTAATTTTATTATAAAATATATATCATGTTGTAATATATATTTATTTAAAAACTCTCTAACAAAAATTATAAATAAATATCTCACTACTATGGATTAGGTTATAAAATTAATTAAATACATTGTAAATTTAGAGAACTAAAAATGTATTTTTTGAATCCTGATGTGAACAGCCACATTTCTTATGACTTTCTTCTTCTGTCACATCTATTGTCAGTTTAGTGTAAAGTATGAACTGGCATACCTTAAGTTGTTGGTTGAAGCAAAGTTTCTTTAGACGTAATTTTATTTGATGTTAATCCATTAGTAGAAACCTCTTTGCTATAACTTTTAATTTTATTATAAAATATATATCATGTTGTAATATATATTTATTTAAAAACTCTCTAACAAAAATTATAAATAAATATCTCACTACTATGGATTAGGTTATAAAATTAATTAAATACATTGTAAATTTAGAGAACTAAAAATGTATTTTTTGAATCCTGATGTGAACAGCCACATTTCTTATGACTTTCTTCTTCTGTCACATCTATTGTCAGTTTAGTGTAAAGTATGAACTGGCATACCTTAAGTTGTTGGTTGAAGCAAAGTTTCTTTAGACGTAATTTTATTTGATGTTAATCCATTAGTAGAAACCTCTTTGCTATAACTTTTAATTTTATTATAAAATATATATCATGTTGTAATATATATTTATTTAAAAAC